TTATTTTAGGCAGTTGGGGTTAAGTGACTTGCCCAGGGTCACACAGCTAGTAAGTGTCACCACCTAGCTGCCCCACCCATTTAATTTCTTATGTCAACCAGAAATATACCAAACCAAGATGGGGAAAGTCATGATGTGGAAAGCATAACTATATTACACATGGGTGTGCCAGAGTCACCAAACAGAGTACTATGTGTGAGTTCCGGGGTTCAGGAAAGTCTCCATGGAGCAGGTAACATGGAAAAGATGCCGCTTCATCCCTAACATACAAATTAGAATCACAGGATCATAGATTTAAAGCTGGAAGGGACCTCAGAGACTATCTCATCCAATTCCTTCATTTTAGATGGAAGGAATTAGAGGGCTATAAGGAAAGTGACTTATCCAAGGTCACATAGTGGGGGAGGAGGACACATGGGAAGTCCTGCTGCCTCCAAAACCAGTGTTCTTTCTCCTGTGCAACTTCAGACCTTGAATTTGTCCATAGGGCATTTCCTCTCTACATCTTTCCTGTTCTCCCTTCCTTCCCAGGTCAGTCCAATACCTCCTTCTACCAGGAGTCCTTCCCACATTCTTTCCCCATGTCCAGGATTTTCCGGGGGGCTACTTCAACACCGATAAACTTACCTTCCATGGGATCATTTTTCTCTAACTGATAGTTTGGAGACAGAAGTGAGCAAGCTATGTGCTGAGGGCAGGGAATGGGTTAGCTTGCCTGGAAAGTCTTCAGGAAGCCATGAGAAATTAAATTCCTGAGATAGAACTGGTTGGGCCCAGAAATCTGGTTTTCTCATGGTGAGGGAGGGAGGTATGTGTGAGTCTATTGTTTTCGTGTATGTTTGTACCTATTAATGTATATTTTTGTATCTCAAATCCCAGTGGTTTTGGATTGCCTCTGAATCAATCTAATTCAATTAAACAAATGTAATCCATGGCTTGGCTTGCCACCAAGGACTCTGGGTACACACAGACTGAGTTCCATCCTGGGGGCTTGACCCCATTGGGTCAATCTTTCTTCCTTTGCCTCATTGCCCCTACTTGGATTAACATAGGAAAACTCTTCAAGATAAAACTTAAATAAAGCAAATGTTTAGGGTATCCCCAATGGCAGTGGCAGGATTCCCAAGTTCTGTGAAGACACTCAGCATACAATGTAGCTATTGGATATAAGCAGCCTTTATTTTACCCTACAGAAAATGTGTAAAATACTAAAGACTCACAGAAATTCACTAGACAAGTACAGAAATAAAGCATAAAAATAAACTATAAGCTATTCACCCCCAGAAGGAAATTAAATTTACAACCCTCTATTTCTCTAGCGAGTCCCTATTTTCTAAAGTCCTATTTATACAGTCTTCCTAAGATTGTAGTAATACCATGTGGTTTAGACTCCCCCAGAAAGCAAGCATGGTTTGGTGTTTGCTGAATAAGCAACCCCACTTTTCACTGAACTTGTACTGGCTAATTTACTAGATTTACTCCCGAAGTAGGATGCTGTACAAGCCATGTGGACTGTCTTCTTTTCTCTACAAGAAGCAGGGTGGATGAGGAAATCATCTCACTCTAGAAGGTCTAGTAACTCAACTCAACGTAAGGAGCTCTTGAATCATGAGACAATTGCTAAAACTAGATATATCCATTTCTTACTAGTGCCCATGTAATTCTATTGTAAGACAATATTGCTGATTTGGGGGAGGAAAACAGAAGAATTCCCTTCCCCCCTTGCAGCTGTGATACCTGTTTTACAAGGCTCTCCCGCAAGAACTATTGTTATTGTTACTATATCTTTACTATATTGTTACTATATATTACTAGATATAGTTACCATATCTTTAAGAGTCAAAAGGAATGTCATGGAAATGCCATTTTAGCTGTTGGTTTGGTTTGGAAAGAATGCCAAGAGTGATGGTTTGAGAGAAACTGAAGGCACTGTTTTCCTGCTATAGCTAGAGAGAAGATGAAGAAGACAGAGAGAAAGAGGATCTACTTTCTTGATGGAACTGTTTTAGCCTTTCCCTTGGGAAAAAGAAAATAATATTTACAAGGAGGATTTATTTGTTATACTGAATGTGAACTAATGTGGGACCATATTCTCAGAAGTGGTGAAAAATCATCTGACATTATAGTTAGAGTTTGAGGTAACTCTGGTTGTGTTTCTTCTCATAGTTAAAGTATTGTAAATACTTTTCTGTCTTTGTTATATTATTTATTTCATTGTTATTAAATTTTATATTAGGAACTTTGGTATTTATTTCATTCTAGGAGATTAAGGAATTTCATAAATTGAGAGGCGTATAACTACTCTTGCAAAAGGTAATTTCTCTAGTTTGTTACATAAATAATATTTGATAAACTGGTTGGAGGCTCTGAATTTGGTTGATTGATAAATTGAAATTTTATTAATTAGTGAGGAATTATACAAATATACTCCTTGGATGACCCTAAAACTTGAGAAGATAAGATTAAATATGGGAACAATTCAAGCAACAGACTGAGGAGTAACCAGCAAGTGAAGATCCTTTCGTCTCTGTTACATGTACTTTGGAAAAGGCAAAGAACCAAATCTCAACTGAGAGCCAAGAGAATGGGCCAGTTCACTTCTATGGGCCACAGGAAAGTGTGGCTGATCTTTAGTCACAGGTATACCCTGTGCCCACCAGTTACATTCCTCCAGTAGCCCACACCCTATAATCTTATCAGATTGTCTAGGAAACTCAGTTCTTCTCTCTAGGATTCCCCAGGTCAATCCCTTTTACCTAAATAAGAGTGATGAACTTGGAATCAAGCAACATTTGAGTTTGAACTCCCCACCTCTCACTCCGTGTAACCAGAGACAAATGTTGTTCTCTCTAAATCCATTTCCTCAGCTGCAAAATGGTATAATGATACTTGTCATACCTACTTAATGAAGATGCTGTGAAAATTAACTTTGAATGTTTTGCAAATGATGTTGCAAAATTTAAAGCTTTATATGGAGTATCCCAAAAAGTCTTAGCATAGTCTTTAGCTTTAATAGTTTAAGACTATATGTCATGTATTATATTATTAATAAGGTACTAGGTACTGAGGGTCAATGGTGGTGGATTCCCCCTCTAGACCCCTGTCTGCAGGGAGGACATGGCTTTTCATACTACCAACATTCCAGTAAGATGGAGGATCACTAGGCCTTCCCGTCTGCCCTTACCCTGGACCATAAGGATCTTTGGGCTTTATCATATACCCTCTCACAGTGACCTGGAGACCCTCAGGTGTTGCCATGTACCCCACCACTGCACCCTACAGACCCCTGGGCCTTACCATTAGACCTACACCTGAACCTTTCTACAAGTGATGTCTCCACTAGAGTATGAAATTCTTGGAAGCATGGATTGTCTCATTTTTTTTTCTTCCTATTCCCAGTGCCTAGCTCATAGTAAGCACTTAATAGATGCTTTTCCATCTCATTCTACAAAAAGCAACATGACCCCTACCTTTAAACCATAGGGAATAGGAAAGAGAAATGATAAGGTCATATGATAAAGCTTTTATGAAAATGATTTTAGCAACTGTGTGAGGGATAGATTGGAGAATAGAAAGACTAGAATCAGAGAGACTGGTCAGGAAGCTATTATAATAGTCCGGGGGAAGAGGCCAGTCTAGAGTGGTGGAATAAAGAAGGCCAAAAGAGTTATTGTGGAGGTATACTCAATAGTACTTGGCAACTGATAGAATATAGGTAATGAGGAGAGGGAAGAGTCTCAGGTGACATGAGACTTCCAGTTTGGGGGACTGGAAAGATAGTGGTACCATCAACCAAACTTAACAAGAAAGTGGGATAGAGTAAGTTTAGGGGGGAAGGTGATGCTACATTATTTTTGTTGCCCAGGCTTCAGAGAAGGTCTTCTCACCCTGGAGCAGCCCTCTGCTCTTGAAACCTTGGCCTCCCACTGGTGAGTTCCTTTCTGAACCTCCATTTTGAAGAAGTAATTAAGCCAACCATCTTTCATTCCTCTCCAGGCTTTTCTCCTCTGACTCTCTGGGCTTTGCCACAGTCTTTGGTGGTACCTGTTCTCTCTACTCATTCCCTCATCTTCTATCTCCTGCTTTCCAATTCCCTGTTATGTGTTATTGTCCCCCATTAAAATGTAAGCTCCTTGAGGGCAGGCATTCTTTTTTGCTTGTGTTTGCATTCCCAGTTCTTAGCCCAGTGTCTGGCACTGTGTAAGTACTTAATATTCCTTGTGTAAGAAGCACTGTGTAAGTACTATATGCATCTTGGTGGACTGACTGATTCTTCTTTACTCTATCGAAGTGGATAACTAGGAAGAGTCTATCTTGCCCCCACTGAGCTGCGCCTTGCATCAGTGATTGGGGTTGGGGGCAGCAAACAGGGTTTACCAGGTTCAGGGCTAGCAGGAACACTGCTTCAGAGAATAGATCCATGTTTCTGACCTCAAACAATCAATTTATTTGACCCGAGTCTCATAAAGACGTCCTGATGAGCACAATCACTGGCTAATGGTTATGAGCTGTGACCTCTGGATTTATGACCAAGGTACTCGCAGTCTGTCTGCAGGAGCAGAGGAACGGGCATAGAGACCTGGTGATGGCAGGACTTTATTATGAGGAGCATTTACTTGCTGTGCCATTTAATGTCTAGAAATTTCATATGCATGGGTCCTGAGGAAGGATGGTGGGAGTGATAAATAGGAGGAGGAAGGGAGAGCTCAGCCCTAGTCTAGGGGAAGTGTGGGAGAAGGGAGGAAAAACTACCTATCCCTAGGGTTCTCCAGATTTTTAAAGAGTGACAGATGAGTACTACACCTTGCTCTAAAATTTACTAGCTTTGTGACCTGGAGTAAGTCACTTAACTGCGTGAGCCTTTCTCACCTTTCTCTTTCATGTCCATCTATAAAATGAGGATAATAATACCTGTATTATCTATCTCACAGGTATCAAAAGCAAAGCAACCTTAGGGCTCTGTATGTGGACATTCTTGTTTGATTTGTTCTTGTTGTTAGGGTCGGACACAAAGATTTGGGAAATACTGTAACTGAACTATGGAAACTGATGAGATCACTAATGAGAGTATGTAGGGGAGAGGAGGCCCAGGACAGAGCTTAGAGGGACATTTATGGATTGGGGCCAGAAGATAGATGATGATCTGACAAAGGAGACTGAAAACACGGTAAGTGCAAAAGACATGTACAAGCAGAGATCTAGGTGAGCTCTGGGGGAGGAAATAGTCATTGCCAACCTGAGGGGGTTGGGGAATTCTTCCTGAAAGAGGTGGCTTTTGGTCTGGCCTTTAAAATATGAGTAGGTTTTCGACAGGCAGGCTTGGTGGAGACATTCCTGGCTTAGAAGACAGTATAAGCAAAGATAGGCAAGTGGAAGACATTATGGGTGGTAGTGAATGGTGTGGTTTGGTTATAGCAATGTACAGAGGATAGTCTTATGAGATAAAGCCAAGAGAGTCAGATGGCACCAGGCTAACGAGCTTAAAACTTAACTGAACAGGCCACAAGGAGCCACTGAAGAGGAATGACAGAGCCAGATCTGAGATGTCTGATGGTGGTGTAAAGAACCATGAGCAAGTAAGTCAGTTCACTTTTCTGAGCCTCCATTTCCTCATCTGTATGTTTCAATGCTTTGATGGTTCTGTGATGTCGCTGATATGGACATTCTTTCCATCAGTGCAGATCACAGCCTTCCACAACCTTCTCAATCTGTGCCACCCTTTCCTATGTTCTCTTATAGATCCCCTAGAAACAAACAATCCAGCAGGCTAGAGTCTTCCTCATATATTTCATGGGTACCAGTCCAGTCCTCGAACTACCTTTCCATCTTTTATCCCTAGCACTTGCCACATGATCAGACTGCCTCCTTTTCAGATCATACATGCCCTAAGTGATATTGATTACATCACTTCTTGAATGTAGGTTATGAATGGAAATATGTCATAATCTACTTGCGCTGACTATGTGTTGCCCATTGAACCACTTGCAACTCAGAATCTTTGCAGGCAGATGTAGAGTACCAGCTGTGAAGTCAGGAAAACTGGGTTCATATCTTACCTCTGACATATAGTTGCTGTGTGACCCTGTCACACAGAGTCGCTTCAACTCTCAGTGCTCCAGATAATTCTATAAGGCTCCATGTTGCAAAGAGATTACTAACCTCCCTTCATCTACTTCCAGACAAACAAACAAACAAACTACCCTCCTCCTGACAAAAGCACCTTTCTTCTTTTTAAATTCAAGGGGATCGCATGACTACTACCTACTTCACAGGGTTGTTGTAAAGAAATCACTTTGCAAACCATAAAGCATTATATAAAGTCTGCTGTTAGTATTACAGTCTGGCCCTGGTCTCATTTCTCATCTTTCTTCTTCATGTACTCTATATACCGGCCACCATGGACTGCTTGCTATCCCCTGTACATGCTCCAGACTTTCCTACTTTGGGGGCCTTTCTCACACTGTTCCTTTTGCCTGGATTGAACTTTCCCCACCCCACGTGTGCTTATTAAAATCCTACCTATCCTTAGAGGCCTAGCTCAGGTTGCATCTCTCCTATGAAGCCCCATAACACTATGTACTTCCTAAGCATTTATCATTTTCTAATTTACATTATATATATTTGTGTAATTGCCTTCCCTAGTTGACTCATTGAGGGCAGAGACCAGGTCTCAGTCAACTTTATATCCCAAGGGCAGCACCTAACAGTGTCTTGCCTACAGGAAGGAGATAATGTTTAATAAATGTTTGCTAAACTTTAATTGGCACAGTTCACTGAGCTCTATCATAGCAAGCTGTCCTCAGCCATGAACTAAACCTCAGCAGGGCCAAAGGAGGGGAAGTTTTTAGTATTAGGAAAAAGAAAAAGACAGACTCCTTAGAAATCCTCCAGTCTCAGGACATGAATCCCAGAGGAGGGAGAGAAAAGACGACCTTATTACTGAAGGCAGCATGGGGCTTTGGAGTCAAAGTTTAAATTGGCCCTCTGGGGACAGCTAGGTGGCGCAGTGGATAGAGCACCAGCCCTGAAGTCAGGAGGACCTGAGTTCAAATCTGGCCTCAGACACATAACCCTTACTAGCTGTGTGACCCTGGGCAAGTTACTTAACCCTCGTTGCCTTAAAAAAAAAAGAGAGAGAGGAAAAAAAATCTGTCTTCTGCCCCTAGCTTGTGTGACTTTTAGTTTAGCCAATTATTCTACTGCTATGTGCTTTATATTAGAGCATAAGCTGCTTGTAAGTAGGAATTGTTTCCTTCTTCCTACATATATCCCCAGTATCTGACACAGTGCCTGTACATAGTGCTTAATAAATAATTGATTGACTTCATCACCTGTAAAGTGACAATATGGGACAAGATGATCTCCTAAGTTTCTTAGCTTGAAATCCTTAGATTCTATGACCTGGGAGCAGCTAGGAGTCAGTCAGCTGTGACTTATTACCTTTCTATTGGCCACACCTATCCCAGCCCAGTCCTGGCCCAGTCATTGTTTAGAAAGAGATTCTGTATCCCAGATAAGCACCTCAGAATTGGTTGAGGAAAAGGGAATGTGCTGCCCCCCTCCCCTCTCTTCAGCTGGCTGATGCTACAGTTTCTCATGGCCCCCACCCTGGAGGAATCATCCATCTGGAAGCTATTTGTCATCTCATGGCAGGAGTTGGGACACAGTGCAGACCTCTGCAGGGTGGGCGGGCAGGCCCAGATTACTGCCATATTGAGGTAACGGGTAAAAAGGGCAGACTTTTGGGGGGCTGGACAGATTCAAGAGCTCATGGATGACAATAGGTGAGGGGGAATGTCGGGGGAGGTGTTCCTCTTTGAAAGAGGATTCCCTCTTGTCAAGTAGTGGAGGATTTAGGTGGTAGTGAGTTCTGTTGAGGCCAAACATCCCTACCACCAATTATATGATTTATAGTCCTGATACTGCAGAACTCTAAAGTCCAGTCAGTGGCAGGGTCAGCCTGGGCCCTGAGACTTTTGTTTCCAAGGTACTACATGAACTTTAAATGACAAGTCCATGTATGCAAATCCATCTATGAGAGATTCACAGATGACTAGGGCAATAATACATACGGAGGAGTCTTCACTCCCTCTTGCCCCATCGGACCATATATCAAGAGCTGAAAAGAACCTCAAAAGTTGTCCAATCCAATCCCTTCTTTCTGGAAATGAGGAAACTGAGGCCTAGAGAGGAGAAGCCACTTGCCTAAGACCACACAGATAATTAGCAGAAGAGTTAGGAGCTGAACCCAGTTCCTCTACCCTCAAACCTAGTGGTGTTTTTTTTTTCCCCCCTGACACCACAAAGGCCAAACTCTTCTATGAAGTCTCCTTTGAACTGGCAGGTAAAAGTAGCCTCTCCTTCCTCAGATTTCCCATAGTACTTTTCTTGGATCTCTTCTATGTATTTACGTCCCTCTGCTTTGTATCATTTCAACACGTATTTACTACTCATATGTTCAAGATGCCGATGATAGAAAGGTAAAAATGAAACCATCCTTGATCCCTTCCCTCAGGGATTTCAGATTCTCATTTGGGGGGAAGGAAGAGGGAAAGAGGAATGGGGGAGTTGTGATACATTGCATAGATAAGTAAATACAAAGTTATTTTGAGAAAGAAATTGAGTTAATAACTAGATAAGGGATCAGGAAAGGGTACATGGAAGGCTTTGTGTAGAAGGAGGCATCCAAACTGTGCTTTGAGCATAGTGAGGAGGGAGAGGAGAGAAAGGAGTACATTCCAGGCCTAGAGAACCACTTTTTCAAAAGCAAAGGGAATAAAATGGTATGTACAGTAGTATACAGTATAATGAGAGCCATTCCATGGAATATGTGCAAAAGTTGTCTCTCCTGTTCCATGCCAACCGTGTAGGTGACTCAGTATTGGGTGACTCAGAGATGACAAAGTTCTGCATAGAATTCCATGACTGCTTTTGACAGCCATTGACCTGGTATTTTGATAAGATGTGGCAGACCCTGAACAGTCCCTTGGGCCTCCACTCATAACCATGCCAGTTGGGTGGGGTGCTGCTTCACTTAAAGAGACAGCTTCCAGTCCACTTAGTTTCTTTTATGTGGCAAGTACTGCTCTTTCACATTGAATTTCAAAGTGAGGATTGTTGTTCAGTTGTTTTCAGTCATGTCTTACTCTTTGTGAACCCATTGGGGGTTTTCTTGGCAAAGATACTGGAATGGTTTGCCATTTGCCTCTCCAGCCAGTGGAGGATTTAGGTGGTAGTGAGTTCTGTTGAGGCCAAACATCCCTACCACCAATTATATGATTTATAGTCCTGATACTGCAGAACTCTGAAGTCCAGTCAGTGGCAGGGTCAGCCTGGGCCCTGAGACTTTTGTTTCCAAGGTACTATGTGAACTTTAAATGACAAGTCCATCTATGCAAATCCATCTATGAGAGATTCACAGATGACTAGGGCAATATTACATACGGAGGAGTCTTCACTCCCTCTTGCCCCATCGGACCATATATCAAGAGCTGAAAAGAACCTCAGAAGTTGTCCAGTTCAATCCCTTCTTTCTATAAATGAGGTCACACAGCTTGTAAGTGTCTGAGGCCAGATTTGAACTCAGGAAGATGAGTCTTCTTGACCTGCTGCTCTATCCACCGTGCTACCTAACTGCCCCAAAGTGAGGAAGTGAGCTCCCAATTCCTATTTAGATCATGTAATCAAAGCAAGCCTGTACCTGGGCTCCAGTTGCTTTTTCTATTTTATATTTGTTTTTTTTTTTCCTGAGTAGGTGTTCGAGCTTAGAGATGACTTTATGAATTCAAGAGGTCCCAAGTCCAATGAATGGAACTGACTGGTGGCCCGGGAAGCTTTAGATGAGAGAAGTCAATCATCTACAGGAGAAGGAACCCAAACCTCTGGCCTGGCTTATCAGAAGATTTTACAGGAGACTATGCAGAGGCAAGGTGAAATGGAAAATGCAAAATTAACAGTCCTGCAATTTGCTTCGTGTTCACAGGTACAAGAATCAGTCCCCAGGAGAATGTAATAGTAGTTATAAGCTAAGCTACTGAATCATATTTTAAATTTGTTGGGTTTTTTTCCAAATATGTATTTGTTGACATTATATGTTTAGCATTTCTTTTGTGTGTAGAAAATAAATACCTCTCCCATACCTTATTCACATCATACATTGAGTACCTTTATACTCCTTCTGTAAGTAGACCTAGACATGAACCCAAACCCAGGCTTTAAATAATTCATCCCAATAAGCTAAAGAGTTTAAGAAAAGGGAACCTCTCTAATTAGAAGTCAGGCTCTCTAGGACTGAACCCAGTTAGGACTACAGTCATGGTTCCCACAAAGCTGATGGTACAAAAGGAATCCTTGGACTCAGCACTAGTTTCTGTTGTTATGGGAGATTTTGTGAAGGGGATAATATGAAAATGACCAAAAAGATAGAAGAGAGTCAGATTGCAGAGGACTTTAAGCACCAAGCTGTATTGTAGGTATCCATATGTATATCTTTCTTTACTTTTTCTTCCTCCTAACCATTTGCACCTGGGCACCCAACCAGATTATAAATTCGTTCAGAACAGGTTCTACACAGTGGCCTGCACTTAGTAGGTGCTTAATAATGTTAGTTGTTATTGAATTGAGTTCAAGGCAATGATGGATGGATCACTTCTGACTGGAGTAGTGAGATTAGTCTTCATAAAAAATGTGACATTTGATTGTGCTTTGAAAAAAGGGCAGAGAAATGGCCAAACTTCCTACATCTAAATTCCCACATATACTTCCACAGCTGGCCTGATAGAAGATAAGATGGCATCTTTCAATAAAATTCTGACCTCCCCACCGCCACCACCAACAACTATGCCAAGTCTCAAAGCCTGAACAATTCAGTGGACTGCGAAGAGTGGTGGGAAGAATTCAGGGAGGTGTCCTTAATTAAGAGAAAACAGCCCCTAAATGTCCATCTTTCCTTAACTTAAAGATAGCCAAGGATAAAGAATACCAGCCAAGTCTAGAATTGTTAGGGATGATGGGGGTGAGGGGTAGGGGAAGTATCTTAATTGGGAATCTTTTATTGTCTTCTTGAGCACAAGTTCCGAAGGCATTATGTAAAAAAGAGCAGCCAAAATTTAGAATGTTCCCTCCAAAGAAATGCAAGATACTGAATTATTTGGTCAATCAAATTGCTGTTATTTACTGCAATGAATATATACAGTCTCTGTCACTTCACTCAGTTACTTAATAGAGAAAGGGAAAATACTCACTCTGATTCCTACATTACACAGTGAAAATCATCCAAGTTCCCAGGCCAACATCTCATTCAGGCCACCCCAAACTATCTTATCACCTCTAAGAAGTTGGAAATGAGGATGGTCTCAGCAGATGCACAGACTGAGTGGGTATGGGAAGAACTCCACATGCTCCAGTCTTTGCTCAGGATGCAGCTTAACCCCAGTGGACTCCAGGAAGCCGGGTTTTCATGATGTGATTTCTTCTCAAATCTTGGGCCATTACCTATTCATCCTTTCCTGATTCTTGTTTAGACTTGGTCTCCACTACACCAGGCCATCCTGTCATGATTTAGGAGTGGTAACTTGGGCTTTCTTTTAAGGGGAATTTGACCAGTCTGCTTTTAGCTGATAGAAGCATTGGCCAAAGTCATTTGTGCCAACATTCTAAAATATTGATGTCACACTTCAAGGTGATTCATGATAAACAGATCTAGACTTCCTAATCAAATACAATCAAATGGTCAAGGTAAGAAGACATACTCATCACAAGCATCTGGTTATCAGACTTTCCACCCAAGTTATTTACATAGACATGCTCGAAGTGAGCATGCTTGTTACAAATTCAAGATGGAGTCACTCATGTCCAGGGTAAGCTTCTATGACATGGGGGAAGGCACTAAAATGCTTAGAGCTCCTTCAGAGATTCAGTAGCAAAGACACAAGAAGCTCCAATCTGAAGCAAAACAAACAACTAAACAAAACTCTTTACCTTCTGTAAGGCCCATCCAGATCTTCAGGCCAAAGGTTCCAAGAGCTAGAACAGCAACAAATACCAAGACCCAAGTCACCAGAACCAAATAATTGATTGTTGGGAGAAGTGGGGAATAAACAGGAAAGTCATAAAAGAATATGAGGGAAAGGAGAGGCAGAGACGAGAGATAGAGGGCTCTATAATCTGGAAGATTAATCTAGGTCATTTACATGTTAATATCTCTTTTACTTTCTGTATATACAAGTTTCTGGGAAAGTAGACATAAATTCTGCAACCCTTGATACCAACTAACTGATAGCAATCACTTACTAAGTGTCTACTATGTGCCAGGTACTGTACTAGGTGTAGGGAACAAAGGCAAAAAAGAAACAGTACCTGCTCTCCATGAGTTTACATTCTATTGGGGAAACATATATACCTGTACATGCATTAAAAAGATAATTTGGGAGGGGGGGAGGGAAGCACCAGCCCTTGGATGGGCAAGAATGAGGAAAGGCCTATGTAAAAGGTAACAGGAGCCGAGCTTTGAAGGAAATCCAGGGGGTTCCAAGAGGTGGAGGTAAGAAGGAAATGTGTTCCAGGTGTGGAAACAATCTGGGCCAAGGTGCAGAGAGGAGACAGAGTGTCTCTGGTGAGGAGCAGCAAGGAGGCCATTTTGGCTCAGCCATAAGTGTTTGAAAGGGAGTAATGTATAATCAATCTGCAATGGTAGGTTGCAGCCAGGTTGTGAGGCGATTCAAAAAGCAAAGATTACCTAGAGGTAATAGGGAGCCTCTAGAGTTTATTGAGTAGGAGAGGGACATGATCAGGCTGGTGCCTCAGGAAAATCACTTTGGCAGCTGTGTAGGATGGATTAGACAGAAGAGGAAGGGAGACCAGTTAGGAGGGAGCCTATTACTATAGTTCTGGAGAGAGATGACTTTTTGTGACGGTAGAAACAGACGGCCTCCTCCACTTTCCCCCTCTGCCTGCAGGTTTTCCCCAAGAACTTTTAGACTCTTAAAAAAAAAAAAAAAGAACTTTTAGACTCTTTCCCAGTGTCATTACTCTCTATCTCCTCAGAGCTCCTGCCCTTCTTTCCCCTGTGACCTCCCAAGCATCTGCCCCTCTTCTCCAGTGTCACTCCAACCTGGCCTCCACTCATTCCAGCTCTTCCCTAGATTATACCTAAATCACGTTGTCTCAGCCCTCTAGGAACATGGACACCATAAGTCCCCAGAATTGGGGAGTATCTGGAAGTCCTGCTCACTGTCTAACCTCAGCCCTTCCCACTGCAGTTTGGAAAAGATGGCCCATCCTCTATGGAAGGGCAAGAAATAACCCTACAGGGCCTTTGCATAAGAGGGATGGGAGGTCGAGATTGCGGAAGCCGAAGATGGAGAAGGGAAGGAGCTGTCCCCGGACGGACAGGAGGCGGTAGCTGAGCTGGAGCCCCGGGCCCAGGCGGAAGCGGCGGCATCACAAGCACGGGATGATGGATGGGGCTGCGGGCAAGGCGGAATCATCTGAGTCTGGGGTGCCCGCGTGCCTAATGCAGACAAACCCCTCCGCCACCAGCGAAGGCCCGCTGTCTTAAATATTACCCCGGAGTTTTCAATTATCTCCTATTAATGGATTTGCAGGGGCTTTTATCAAGCCTGGGGTGGCTGGGTGTGGGGGTGTGGGGAGCTCGCGGCAAGGGCTGGAGCTGGGAAAATGGCCCATATTTCAATATTAAAGCCCTTTACGATCGTCAACAGCATGAAAGATGCTGCAAATAAAACGGGGCCGCCCGCGCCAGGCTCTCCATCTCGCAGGTTTTAATTAAAGCTGAGGGGGAAGCGACTGTGGCTGCTGGGAGGGTCCGAACTAGGCTGGGGTGAGCGGGGTACCCGACAGGGGCCTGAGAGCAGCCCCGATCGGCCTTCTCTACATCCCAGGCTTGAGGAAGCCTCCTGGTCAGACCTGGGTCGGCTTGCTGGGACCAGAAAGCGTTCCGAAACTGACTTTGAGTTTAACCTGGCATTTTTTGCAGGCAGGGCTGTCTGTCCCTAAGGCTGGATTGACGGGTTGGGATGGGGGCAGGGAGGGTGGACCGTGCATCTGACCATTAAACAAATAGTATGCAAATGAATAAATGCAAATGAGATGCAACGTCGAGTTGATGGGGGGTAAGTTTTGAACCGCACCGCTCACCCCCAAACCGTCCCCCAACGCGTACCCATTCCCATCTGTCCCCTCCTCCATCACCATCAACGTCTGTTGCCATTTCTATGGCCACTGAGGAGGGGGGAAGGGAAGTGGGGACGCTTGCAAGCTCTTCCCGTGGCCCAGCCTCTGTGGTTTGGGGTCCCGAGACTCCGTCTGCTTTCTCCATCACCCCCTCCTGCCTCTCCTGGCTCTGGCCCGTGACTCCCAGGCTGGAGGCCGAGAGTATACACATACACAGTAGCTTCACTGTTTCTGCCTTGGCAAAGCTCCTGGCTTGACAGCTTGTGCAAGCCGGGCAGACTCATCAGTCAGGCGGGAAGGACGGATCAACGTCCGGCAGCTTGTGCTGAGGACTCCCTTGGGGGCAACCGCTGGCCCAGGCCCAGCCTCCTTGTTCCCCTCCCTTTCCTCACTCTCTCTGCTTCCTCCACCCCCAGCTGCCAACATGGCACCAGCTGCAAAGGACATAGAACAAGGAAGAAGACAGGAGACCTAAGTTCAGCTACCAGCGCTGCCACCAACTGACTGTGGGACCTCAGGCAAGTGGCATCACCTTTCTGAGCCCATTTCCTCATCTGTCAAGTGAGGAGTTTGTACTAGAGGATTTCTAAGGTCCTTTAGGAATATATGTTCCTAAGCATTTACTTAACTCTTGTTTCTCTCTCCCTCATGAGGTAGGCCTTCTAGGAGGAATGCCATTCAAAATTCCTTCCCCCCCCCACTCCATTCAAGATAACTAATTGACTAGAGGCACCCCAATGGGTCTCTAGCTGAACCCAAGTCAGTCAGTGATGGAAGGGCCTGTTTGAGGCAGTTCTCAGACAAAGAAATCAACGCTATCTATAGTCACATGAAAAAAAAAATACTCTAAATCACTATTGATCAGAAAAATGCAAATTAAAACAACTCTGAGGTACCACCTCACACCTATCAGATTGGCTAATATGACACAAAAGGAAAATGTTGGATGTTGGAGGGGATGTGGGACAACTGGGACACTAATGCACTGTTGGTGGAGTTGTGAAATGATTCAATCATTCTGGAGTGCAATTTGGAACTATGCCCAAAGGGCTATACAACTATGCATACCCTTTGGTCCAGCAACACCACTGCTAGGTCTATATCCCAAAGAGATCATAAAAAAGGAGAAGGACCTATTTGTACAAAAATATTTATAGCAGAAACAATCAGGCAGAGTTTGTGGTGACACTCTATCCACTGCACCATCTTTGTGGTGGCAAAGAATTGGAAATCAAAGGGATGCCCATCAATTGGGGAATGGCTAAATAAGCTGTGGCATATGATTGTAATGGAATATCATTGTGCTATAAAAAATGACAAGCAGGATGATTGCAGAAAAGCCTGAAAGGACTTACATGAACTGATGCATAGTGAAGTCAACAGAACCAGGAGAATGTTGTACACAGTAACAGCACTATTGTTCAACTGTGAATGACTTAGCTGTTCTCAGCAATACAATGATCCAAGACAATCCCAAAGGACTAACGCTGAAGCATACTATCCACCTCCAGAGAAAGAACTGATATTGATTTAACACAGACTGAAACATGCTATTTTTCACTTTCTTTCATTTTTTCTTTTACTCGAGTCTTGTACAAAATGACTGATATGGAAATGTTTTACATAATTGCACATGTATAACCTATATCTGATTGCTTACCATCTCAGGGAGGGGAGAGGGGAGGAAGGGATAGAAGTCAGAACTAAAATCTTTCAATAAAAAAATGTTT